AGCCCCCCCTACCCGAGCACCCACTGATCCTGCGGCACCCCAGAGCGACAGCAAGTCACTGGCTAGCAGGCCACGGCACAGATGGATCAGCCAGAGGACCCACAGGATTGCTTAGGTTTGTTGGATGCCCCCCACTCACTTGACAGCCAAGAAGGCCGTTGTTGGTGCGCTGATGCCCCCCCGGCAGCCAAGAGACTGCCAAAGGGAAGTGCCCAGGAAAAGCCAGGCGCCAGCAGGGCAAAGGTAAAACCCCAGTGCCTGCACCAAGCCCAAGGAAAGGAGCAGCAAGAGAAACAGGCACAATTAGAGGTAAATCATCCAGGAGTGGAGTCCAGCAGCCTCAACAAGGGAACAAGGGGAGCATCCCTTACCACTCCCCAATGCCACACCAGGTTTAGGTCCCTCGGCTAGAGGCAGGGCAGCCGGACATGGCATCCTTGTCTACGCAGCTCCTGGGCAATCGATTACAAGCACAGGAGCAGGGCAGCGACAAGGAGATCACAGCTCAGGTTGGGTGCAGAGATGAGAATCAGAAAAGATCCCCACTGCTGGAATGGCCCCTTGCCTTGCAAGGACCAGATCCCAGAGGCTCAGCAACCCTGACCCTTCTCAGAGTCCCCTCCCCAGGCAACTAGAGGCCGCACAAGCTCCAGCTGCCAACAGCCACAGAGCCACAACAGCCCCGCCCCACCTAAGGACTTGGTCACCCCGTGCAGCACATGCCCTGTTGACCTCAAAGCTGGGACAGAAACCTGCAAGCTAGCAGCGATGCGTCAGCATTGGGACCCAGGCCAACCTGTGCCAAAGTTATCTGCATGTTCCTTGTGAGGCTGCACGGCGAGTTATCTGCCCGCCTCAGGTTCATAGGGATCCGAGTCCAAAGCTCTCACGTTCCCCCGGGTCGAGGTGTCACAATCTCAGCTAGAAACCCAGGCGCACACGAGAGCACCATACCTGCCCCAGATGGAGTGGGTCCGAAGCCACGCAACAGGGGAAGCTTCCAGCCCGTACATCACAGCATCCCCGTAGTCAACAAAAGGCTTCTGCAGCCTGGAGGGGAAGAGAGAAAGGCGGCATTAAACCAGACTTTAAGCCACAGCTGCACGGTAGCCACAAGGCACCTGCAGGAAGAATGAAGCAATGGCTACCGCTGAGCAAAGAGGGGGATACATTTCTAATCAGGGGGCTTTGAGTAGCCTGTAACCCTCTGTTGAACCCAAATACCCTAATCTCAACCCTTGGATACATGCTCCACAAAAGCTGGGAAGCCACCTGGCCTGGGTGGGCAGCAACTGGAGACCTCAAGCCAGAAGGCAGGGAGGTTTCTGGCTGCTGAAGGAGATGCTCAGCCTACAACCGCCTCCAAGGGGGCAGCAAGTTTTCTCCCTGATTTTCTATCCTTCTTTCATCCCACCCACTGCTCCAGCCCTTCAGGCAGTGATCAAAGCACCTCTCAGGTCTTGGCAATTAGGGCCTCTCCAGATTCCAGTGAGAGGCAGGGAAGAATCACCACCCTTATCCAACAGGTGCAGAGAGGAGCAGCAGCAATCACCCATATTTCAAAGCACGTGGCCCAGTCTGGGGCCACCACAGTGCTCTTGAGAAGAAGGCATGCCATCAGGCTCTGCAACCAGAGGCAGGTGGCATCCACCCACTTCTGGAAACCCTGCCCCCGCCCCCAAAGCACCGGTTCCTCTTGCCCAAGAGTATTGCCAGAAACCGAACAAGCCCTTTGCACGTTGCACAAAGTCTTTCCCGGTTGCATCGCTTGCAAATGGCTCTTCTCCGTAGGAGGCGGTGATTGCAACGTTCAGCAAAACCTGCTCCGAGGTATGATATTCCAAAGGTCCTGCCTCAGGCAAGCCGGCTGCTGTCTAAAGGCCGCACAGGGGCCAGGCCGCTGTCTGGGGGAGCTGAAGGGCACATCGGTAGAAGCAGGATGCGAGGGACCCAGGGGAAGGGAGACTGGGCTGGCAAGGCAGGCAGCCAGGCACCAGGGCTGGAGTCTCTTACTTGCGGCAGAAGTGGTGGGCGCACTTCACCAGGATGCGCATGCAATGGACAGCGATGATTCCTATCACAAGCAGGCTCACGGGACCCATCTAGACCGAGGCAGAGGAGAAAGAGAGAGAGAGAGAGAAAAAAAAAAAAGGGCTCAATACAAAAGGCGACAGCTGGGAAACTCAAGACCAAGGTGACCATGAACAGCAGCTTCGTGGAGAAGGGAGCGCAAACAGCCAGCACATGACACCACAGGGCTAGCACGCTGCTCAGAACTGCAAGGGGAAGACAGCCCTTGGAGACCCACCCTGCCCTTTCCAAAGGCAGAAAGGACCCCTACAACAGAGCTGTGGGTTTGAGGCAACCTCCTGGCATCCAAGCCAAAGAGAGGAGCAGGAGCATCCCCCTCACCCCCAGACCCTGACCTCAGCTTAAAGCAAAGCTCCTCAAGGCAATTTACAGGAGTGGGTATTATGAGAACAGAACGAGGCAGCAGTAACCAGAGTGGTAGGTGGGAGAAAGCCAGAATAGCTGGATTCAAGACTGAGCCCAATCCTGCTACCCCAGACAGCAGGCCCAAGACAAAAGGAAAGCAGGGGACAGCAGGGTGGGGTGCAGACAGTGGTGTCCAAGGCTTTGGGTGCAGCTAGGTGCAGAGGGGTATCATGCAGCCAGGAGGCTCTGCACAACCCGACAGCCAGAGCCGGGGACTGGCAGAGACCCGCTCCCGAGTCCTGCGCGCTGCGGTGAGCTCACAGCCATCTCAGTCTGCAGAGTTTGGCTGCAGGTTGCACCCACGCAGTTGGTTCCATGTCTACTTAACTTGTAAGAGGGAAGAGACCCAGGAAGGTTGTACACCAGGTATCCCCAGCCTCAGAAATGCAAGAGGACGACCCCCCGCCCCCTCACACCGAGTGCAAAACCTGACCGGCAAAAGCTGCAGCACAGAGGAGGGAGGTCTGCCCTCAGTGAGGGCCATGGGTCATTTGGACCAGCCAGGACAGCGGTGCTAAGCCAGGCAGCTCTGCTCTAGGACACGCACAGCATGCAGGAGCGCACAGCTGGGGGTCTGGCAGGTGCTAGACAAAGGAGACGTCACGCGCCCAAGTCAGTCAGGTCACCTTCACCTAGGATTTACTAGTGCCCCCGTGCACGTGTGGGATGGGTGCTCGTGCCCACACAGCAGTTGTCTTACCACAACGCCGGCATTCTTTATAGCCAGGGGCAGCCCCAGCAGCCCTGTGCCAATGTTCCCCTTCAGCACGTGGATCAAGGTTTGGAACGATCTGAGGGGAAGAGACAGCATCAGGAGAGTGAGAGTCAGCCACCACTTCTCTAGCCCCCGGGCACAGGCAGGAGCCCAGCGGCCCTTGAGCAGAGCATGCCGGCGGACCTGTGACGATGGTAGATGCACACGAGTGCCGGAGGCTCATGGAGCAAAAGGCCCTTGGGCATTTAAGCCAGAAGCCGGCAAAGAGCAAAGGAAAGATCACGGGAGGCTTCTAGGTTGCGTGAGAAGTAGATGCATTTGCTGAACCAGCCAGCAGCTTTGTGGCATAACTCATCTGCCACGGCCAAGGAAGCTACTTCTGCTGCAGGCGACAGCAGACTGGGTCCATGGAGGGCTGAGAGACAGGTTTCCTGGGAAGAGAAGCCCAGGCCATTGCAGGAAACCCCGAACAGCAGGACCAGGCTCCTTGCAGGTCACAAGCGCCCTGCATCACTACAGATGCCGCAGGACTCCATGCACCTCAGCCTGGCCCTCAGTCCGACACGGGCAGAGGGGAGCCTGGATGGCTCATCCCACTAGCAAGCTCCGAATCAGGACAAGGCGCCTGCCCATACATTGCTGCCAGCTGGAAGAGCTGGCAGGGGAGCATGCGCCACAGCTCTGGGAACGAGACGCTGCCTCGGCATCGAGCAACCCGTGCCCGCACTTTGCATCTACAGCAGCTGGCAACCGTGCCAGGGGGCCGGGAGATGCCTTGGGAGGCTGCACAGACCCATTGCAAGCACAGCACCTCCCATGCAAAGAGGGGCAGGGACTTGACCCCATTCCCCCCACGGAGCTCCCTGGGCAGTGCAGAAGGGTCCCCGCGCGCCCCAGCCCCGGGAGCAGGGGGATGCCGACTCACGTTGTGCCATTGGTCTCCCCGAAGCGCTGGTAGGTCGAGGAGCCGGCGCAGCTATTGGGGCCGTTGGAGGGGCTCCCCTCGGGCGTCACATCCGTGGAGCTGTAGTCATTGTAGTCCTCGCTGCGCAGCCTGCGGCTGGACATCGTGCCTATGGGGACAGTGCCGTCAGGGCCCACCGTGGCCACCATCTCTATGCTCCCCTCTACAGTGGCGCCCGCCTTCCCTGCCTGGGGCTTCTCCGGATCAGCCATGGCTGTGGGACAGGCGTGCACAGCTACTGCAGGAGCAGGCTGTCCCCAGCAGGCTTTTATAGGGCTCTGCCTCACCTATTGCCTCAGTCACAGCACATGGGCCCTTATGCCACCTCCACCCATGTGGGATCCGCCCAGCAGCTCCTACAGGTGCAGCTCCCTGCAACATGACCTACATACATATTCACATCAGGAAGTCCATGGGACAGACCAACCGGCTTTCCTGACACGGCAGAACAGGTAGCCCATACACATGGGGCGAGGGGGCGCGCAGCCATCCCCCGATCCCACAGGGCACCTTGGCAGCACCCAGTGCCCAGGGCTCCAGGCTGGTCCCCAGGAAAGAGACCTCACTGCAGGCCACGCACTGGCTTTGTGCTCCCTCAGCACCTCTGATCCACTTGATTTTTGCTTGGGATCAAGTCAGTGCCAGAGCCAGCTGCAGGGGAGCCAGAGTGCAGAATCCTCCCCTGCCCACGGGGTCTGGTGGGAGTGAGGTGGCAAGGACAGGGTGTAGAGCAGCAGCGGTAGCCTCCTTGCAAGGCTCCAACCTGTCTCTATAGCATACACCAGGGACCACACAATGGCAGATGCAGCATCTTGTCCTCCAGGCATCACTTGGAGCAGAGGACCGACGAAAGGATTTAAATCCCGCAGTCCGCTGGCCCAGGGGCCGTCTACCTACTCAGATGCTGCACACACTAGTGCTCTCCCCCCACCCAAAGCAGACAGGCCTTGGAAATTTGCAGGAAGGGATGGCCAGGTCCACAGCACCCAGCTCTGCTGCTGAACAAGGCCAGCCAGTCCTGCCGGGGATGAAGGCACAGTGGAAACTGAGACACGTGGCTGGACACCTGTGGGCTGTCTTAGCAAGACACCTGGTTCTGCCAGAGCAGCACAAGCACCTGCCCTGGCTCTCGGCCTCAGCTCCCTGCTGGGGACGCGGTGTCCTGCTTTCTGGGTCACAGCTTAGATGAGCAACTCCCAGGGGCAGGGACAGCACCGAGCAGAATAAGGCCCGACTCCAGTTAAGGCTTCCAGGCCCATCTTCCAAACCAAAAGCAATAGCAGGAGACAACGAGAATGGGCAAGAGCATCAGGCTGCGTGCGAGGGGACAGGACTTGAAGCTACGGGGAGCACGAGGCAGAGAAACGGGGCAGGATGCCGTGCTGCTTCCTTGGAGCCCGAACAGCGCCGGGTGGAGGAGGTCCTGGCCACAAGCAGGGAATTCCCACTCGGCTTCTGGGACACGGCACCTCCCATCCCCGCGTTTCCACCCACTCCCTGCGAGGACCCGCGCACCTGCTCTCTGCCACCTTGGCCTGAGGGCTCTGACCATCATCTCCTGCCCCACAGCAGCCGTGCCCCAACACTGGGCACCATCTCCCAGTTCACTCCACCTAGGCAGCGATGTCGGATGTCGCTTCCTGGGCGCCGAAGCACCTCCCCGTCCCTGCCGAGAAGCTCTCCAAGCTTCCTAGACAGTCGCATTGGGCTCTTCCTCTTTTCCCCGAACACCCCGCCACTCGCTGCCCCCAGGGAAGCCAAGGGTTATCTGGAAACCTGCGCTGTTTGCTTTTTGATAGGAACATGAGAGCACAAGATGCAGACAAGAGACATGGAAAATTACCTAACAAACATTGCACAAGACATCTGAGCTTCGAGACAGTCATGTCAACAAAAGACATCCTCTCTCCTGACTTCTCCCGCAGCATCAAAGATGCACCACCCCCCCAGCAGAAACGCTGCCTCGCTTGAAGCTGCCGACAAAGCACCTTATTCCTGCCTTTAAAAAGGGAGAATCTCTGGTTTTCAGCTCCTTGGCATCGTGCCCTGCTGCTCCCAGCCCAGACCCACTGCTGGCAGCATGTCGAGAGAGATCCTTCCCCCCCTGCCCACCCCAAATCGTCTCAGCAAGCAATGGCCTGCTCCCATCCAAAGGGTGGCTGCAGAAAGGCCTCATTGCAGACAGGAAGGCGCTGCCTGCAGCATGGGGAGGGAGCCGACTGCTCCAATGCAGAGACAGCTGCCCCTCTTAAGCGAGGCTGGTCCCTTCACCCAAGTTGCAACCAGCCCATGGTGTCCCCCCTGGCATGGAGGCAGATCCATGCCTATTAGATGTTGCACAGCCAGGAAGGACTCCCATGAGGCAGCTCAGCTCTTCCCTCCTGCTCCAAAACATCCTTGACTTCGTGTCCCAAGCAGCAAGGCACTCCCATCCCATCTCAAGAACAGCATCTGCAGGCTGGTCAGGTGCCAAGCAGGCTCATCAGCCCATCCACAGAGAGGGCATCTCTGCTGGGGAGACACAGGCACCAGGACGGGCCCCCACAGAGGTTAGAAAGTGAAGCATGCAGCTGCACACCAGATCAGAGGTCAAGAGCCCCATTAGCTCAGAAGGAACAAATCTACCTGGACTTCAGACTAATTAAATCAGATAGATACGCTGCAACTTCCTAGGCCTGAAAGCTTTCTAATAACTTTTTTCCAATGACTCAGTCTAATAAAAGTGCAGATGCGATTATCAAAGAGCCTTTCCTGCCTAATTTAGGTAATAAATATCTTACATTAGTTAGACAGGGCAATCTCTACATGCAAGAATGAATGAATGAATGAATGAATGAAACTGGTCTGACAACCGCTGCCAAATGACAAGAGCCGGTAGCAAAACACTTCAGCCTCCCTGGACACTCCATCGCTGCCCGCAGGACTGCTGTTGTCAGGCTGCAACGTTTTCAAGACCAGCTTGAACGAGAAGCTGCAGAAGAAGTCATGCACAGGCCAGATTGCAGTAAGTGTGGTTTAAACAGGGACCAAGGTCACTGTCCCATTACCTGGATTAGCTTTCGCGACTCCTTTGTTCCTATGGGCTTTTTGCTTGTCCCAGCACCTTCTCTTTCTCCCTTTTCCTCTTGTTCGACCTTTTATAGTCTAATTGCTCCCTCTGCTTTACACACTGCTCTGTGCTGCCCTGAACTCCGGGATGAGCATTCATTAGGTGAACAAAGCCGAGAAGCTTTCACAGGAAGAAGCACCTCGGAGCCATCCTGGTAAGACCCCACGAACTGATGTGCAAAACACAAGGCAGGAAGTCGATAAGTGTCTGTGAAGACGTTAATTAAAGCCTGGACCCAGACCCCAGATAATTCTCTCCTCTGCCTGGGAACAGCATTGCAGTGTCCTTCCTCAGAGCCCAGCTCAGTTCAAGAGTAAAGAGCGCTCTTGTCCACACTCAGACAGGTTTTAGCCAAGCCTTTGCCATCCGGTACCACCAAGAGCCACCGCCACGACCTGCCAACTCCTACCTGCCCCCAAACAACCAGCAATATTTATACAATCAGCTTCCTACTCCGTTGCAGGAGAAGGAGGTTCACTCACCCGTGGCGTGGGTGGAGGGCTGACGCGTGCACCGGGAACGACACAAGCTGCTGTCACGCTGGGAAACAGAAGTGCAACAAAAGAAACTTCCCACCAAGCCATCTAGTAATTACACCACGCCGGAGACACCACCTACTCCTCGCATGCCAGCCGCCGTGGGGACAGAAGACCCTGACATGTTAGTGGAGACTCACGTCAGCGACGCAGTCAGACAGAGAACAACACCGCGGCACTGCGCTGCTCTCCAGACAGCACTCAAGCTCTCCCTGTAATTTTCCCCAAGTAGACGCAGCTGCTCATCTCTTTTGAAGCCCAGGAAGATTGACCCACAATGACTCGATGCCTTTTGGAGGAGAGCTTGCATAAGACCAAGAAGCACGAGAGGCCAATTTCCCTTTCATCAGGAAAGGGGAATTAGCCACCCGGGTGGGGAGGCTGGGAGACGGTTGCAAACCTCCACCCTGCGAAGATTATTGTCAAGCAAAAGCAAAACCCGGTGGAGCTGCAACTTCGTCCCTTGCAGGCCGGCCAGGGCAGAAGAGCCAACTCTGACCCGACCCTGCAGACACGTGCGGTTCCCTTTATACCCGAGTACCCTCCACCCCGACTTCCAGACACGCACGTGTGTGACACACGCACGTGTGACAGCACTCGCGGCATCTTGCTCTTCCGCGGCCAGATTCTTCCTCCTGAACCGAAGCAAACGAGCCTTTCGCCCCTTGCGCCCCGGGTTACTCCCGGCTCGGGCAGGACGCGCAGGGCTCGAGGTGGCTATACCTCCAAGGCTTTCGTTTCGATTCTGCCCTTAAATGATCTTTGTTCTCGTTATTCATCGCCCTCTCGCTGCTGCTATGATTCACTCCATCACTCGCGGGCGCCGGGAAAGCGACACGGCTGCACAAACGCTAGGAAAGCTTTTGCTTTCACCGGCCACGTGCGCTCCTCTGCGCGGGCGAGCCTTCCTGCCATCCCCAGGGACGCGGGCACTGGGGACAGAGCATTTCCCAGACCGCTCGGCCTCGGCCCCAACACGGGACGCCCACCTCTCACCGCACCTGGAGCGTGGTCAGCTTTGCCTGCCCCAACCGGACACGTGGTACCTCCCCCAGCTACCACCCCCTCCACAGCACCGCCCCAAATCAACACAGCGCAGCGCAGCCCCGTACACCCCCCGCGATGCGCAATAAAATGCAGTGCAACATCCCCGCCCCCCACGATGTGCAGTGAAAAGTACCCCCCTCCCCCAGCTGCACACGGCAGTGCAAATGCACCCCAGATGTGCAGTGTAATGCAATGTAGTGCACCCCCAGATGTGCAGAATAATGCAATGCAATGCAATGTAGTGCCCCCCAGATGTGCTGTGCTGTGCAGTGCCGTGCGGTGCAGTGCTGCTCACCTGCCGCGCGCCGCTCCCGGTCTCAGCGGCACCCCCCGGCCATCGCGGGCTCTTCCGCCCGGCGCTCACGTGACCGCCCCCTCACGTGACGCGCGGCCCAGCTGACTCGCGCGTTCCACGCCGCTCCCCTGCGCATGCGCAGCGCCCGGCGGGCGGGCTGCGGCGCCACGTGGCTGCTGGGGCCGGCGCCGCACGTGGTGGGAACCGCGGGGCCCCCGCTCCGTCAGCCCAGCCCAGGCTTTGCCCACTCGGGGCTTCATACACCTCCAAGGGTGGAGAGTCCACACCTTTCTGGGGAGCCTCCTAGTTTGAAAGTGTTTCCTAACCTCCCTTGCTGCCACTGGGGGTTTTCCCCAGCTCTGGGGTGATACTAGGGCAAGGCTGCAGTGCACAGCGCTCAGAAAGACCCCAACGGGGGACTCTGCAGGCCACGAACAGGGTGTTCGAGTGTCACCCCAGGCTAGAAAAGCAGAGACCACTGTGAGCTACAACATCAGGGCTGCTGTGGACTGGGTCAGACCCAAAGTCCACCTTACGCCGTCTCCTCTGTCGCACCCTGGACCCCCTGTGGCCTGCGCCTCCTCGAGCATATCTGGCAGCAAGGGGTTGGGGAAAGGTGGTGCCGAGTCTTATTAACCAAAGCTCTCTGCAGCAACACCCAGGGCATCGCCAAGCCGGCTGTCCACCGCCTGACTCGCCGTGGCAGCATGAAGTGCGTCTCCGGCCTCACGTACGAGGAGACCCACGGGGTGCTCCGAAGGTCTTCTTGGAGAATGGGATCTGCAGTGTGGTCACCTCCACTTGGGATGCACTGATAGAGATTTTGGGGCTGATACCCATAGCCGATTTCTAAGAAGACGTATTGGCCAATACCGATCCGATTTCCAGTGCAGCTGATAAGTCCATTGTGGTCGAAGGGGCCGGGAGGGAAGGGCTACAGAAGAGATCAAGGCCCCTGCAACGAGGAGGCAGTGGAGCTGTGCGAAATTTCACCGGCTGTTTTGATTCAACACTGTTTCGACTCTTTCCGAGCTCGAAACAGTGAAATCGAATCAAAACAAAGGGCTTCAAAACAGCCTTGAAACAAAACGAGGCTAGGCAAAACGTTTCGAAGCCGTCAAAAGCAAGTGGTGGGAGACGGGAGAATCAGGGCTGTGCTCTCAGCAGCAGCCAGGAGCGGAGCTCTGGCTCCTGGCCCCACCGGGCTGCGGGAAGCCGATCACAGGCAGGGAAAGGGAACTGAGCCTGGGCTCAGTTCCCCTTCCAAGCGCTGCAGTCAGGTTGGAGCCCTACAAGCCAGCTGGGGATGCAGAGTCAGCCCAGCTGGGCTAAGTTCCCATCCCCCCACACTAGATCAGGCTGGGGATGCAAAGTCGGCCCATCCCCAGCCCAATCTGGTGTGGGGGATGGGAACTCAGCCCACCTTTCCCCAGCCTGATGGTTGGGCGAAACGTGGGAACGGTGAGGCTGTTTCGACTTGAAATTAAAATTCGATACAAAACACTGTTCCATCCAAACGTTGAAACTGAAGTCGGAACAGAACAGTGCCGTTTTGCACAGCCCTGGCAGGCACGGGACGGAGCCATGGATCATCCAGGGGGCGGCTCCCACCGCTACATACACCCCAGGAGGGCACAGGGGCCCGGGGGGC